AGCAAAATAAATAAATAAATAAATAAAAGATAACATGACAAATACACCATCACAGCATTAAAAAAATAGAAAAAAATAAGCAGAGACAGAAAACAAGAATTTAATTTTGAGATACAATTTGAAGCACAATTAAAGTGATATAGAAGTCTAATATTTCATTTATCTAATAAAATCTCTCTAGGCTTGATAATGAGTAGATGTAGAGTCATTTCCTATTCCCTCTCACGTATAACATTTCTGACACTGTGTTCTTGCCAGAGTAACAGCTCGGTGCAATCCAAGAGGAAATAGATAACACCTTGTCAAACCTTCATGACTCTTGGATTTAGCCCATCAAAGTAGTAATGGTCTGACCTTACTTTACAAGGATTCTGATTGGACCTTGAGATCGGAGGTTATTGCTTTAGTATGAAAATTTAAATTAATGCTTTGAAAATTTGAAAATCAAGTCATACACAACTGGCAGTAAATTCTGAAGCCTCTTTGAACTCAATGTGAACTTTATTTCACACAGTGAGGAAACCACTTGTTTATCCAAAGACATGATCTCATCCTAAATGTTCATCTGTTCTCTCATCCCATTCTGATTTCTAATTACCTCAAAATTCCCTAAGGCTGCAGTTCCTCAACTTTGTTCCAAGTCATCTCAAGGTAATGCATTTTGAAATTCATAGGGGAGTTGTGGATATTTCATATTTTTAATGGAAACAGTGAAACAGTGTATTCTACATAACACATGAATTACAAGTGTGGGGTAACTTTCAGACATACAATATTCCTCTGGGTAACATCGTATCTTTTTGAAGCAGAGTGTTTCAGTTGCTACAGTAAAAAAAGTAAGTACTACCAAAAGGAAATATAGAACAGAAACAAGGGTGGTGATATTTAATTTGATTGCAAGGTTAGAAAATTTGTACAATGTTTACAAATACAAATACCCCATTGGGAAGTAACTGGTTATTCGGGAATAATATGTTTTTTTTTTCATTTTTGTTATTTTTTAAGTATTTTCCCAAGTTGTTAGGACATGATTACCTTTTAAATTATTTAATCTAACAATTTAATGTATTGAGCATCAGCTAGCTCTTTTGGCTTAATGATGTTGTGAAAAAAATGGTGAGACAAAGGACCCAGTGGACAGAGGCCCTCCCGTTGATCGTCGATTTGCTCGAGCGGGCCCAGTAACGTCTCCATTGGAGACTTTGTTGTTACTGTGTCTGGCATATCGAATACTCTCGGTAGCTTGCCGGGCTCTCCGAGAGGGGCGGAGGAATCGAACTCGGGTCGGCCATGTTGGCCGCTTGTAAGGCGAACGCCCTACCCGCTGTGCTATCGCTCCAGTAGAGATAGGCAATGTTAGGTAATGTTTGCCTTGCAATTGTTTTCCACCTTGTTAATATAGCTCTGATCATTATCTTATCTTCAAAGATTTATCTGTCACAGCAGTAAATTGCTTGAGAAGGCTGGGAAGTAAGTTTTTTTGTGTCAAAGCAGAGAAAATTAAAAAACAAATTTTAGGTCATTAAGATCTTTGAAACCTACTGAGAAATGCCTGCTTTAGTTTATGTTAAACACTTGTCACCTGATGGCAGCCATCTGTTCTTTACAACCCTCACTTGGCCTAAGTCACCTGTGTTCTTGCCAAGAGATTTAGATTGTTGGTGCCTTAATTTCCAAAAACAGTAGCTTCAGAATTGTCTCTTCCTTGTGCCTATTTATAGAAATATTTATTTTGTGTAACATGCTGTTTTTGCATTTCTCAAAGCACCTATGTCTCATAAATATACTACTTAATTTCAAATCATGTTGCAAGCTGCAAGCACCTACAATAATTACTTCTCCTTCCTAGTTAAATTTAAAAGCTGAAAACTAAATTATCAGACTATTAATTACGCATTTTAAAAATAAATTACAGACAGTCCAGAAAGAATGTGTTGAAATCTTCTTTCTTTTCTTTATAGTCCTTTTCCCTGGAACTCCCACTTCTGTTCTACCACCGGGGATCCCAAAACTTTCCTCTTTCCTTTATTCTCTTTCCTCAATTTCCAAGTGAAGTTATATTTCTCAAATTACTTAACCACTCCACAGGCCCCACAAACTTTCTCTGCCCCAGATATATCAACTTACCTCTCATTCTTCTGCAACCAAATCAGGCTCAAAATCTAACTTCTTCCTCATCCTCAACACCTAAAAATTTTTCAAACCCAAACAAGTCTTCATTCATCCTGTATTCCAGTGCAACTTTTCTGTTTCTATTATTCTTCCTTTCTTTCTTCCTTCCTTTTCTCTTTTTCTTTCTTTCTTTCTTCCTTCCTTCCTTCCTTCCTTCCTTTCTTTCTTTCTTTCTTTCTTTCTTTCTTTCTTTCTTTCTTTCTTTTTCTTTTGTACCATACCTGGCTTACTCCTGGCTCTTCCCTCAGGAATCACTGCTCCTATGGTGCTCAGAAGACTACATGGGGCTGCAGGCATAGAAAATGAGTTGGCGCATGAAAGCAAGTGCCCTACACACAGCAAAATCTCTCCGGCCCGTAGGTTCATTATTAGAATTTCTTCTGACTAGTTTTTTGTTGTTATTGTTGTTTTCTTTTTGTTTGTTTTGGTTTGGTTAGGGGTCACACCCAGGGTTACTCAGGGCTTACTCCTGGCTTGCACTCAGGGATCACCCCTGGAGAGCTTGGGAGACCATATAGGGTGCTAGGGATCAAATCTGGGTAGGCCACTGGCAAGGCAAATGCCCTAACTCCTGTACTACGACTTCAGCTTCAGACTACAGTTTAAATTTTACAAAGAAGTTAGAGTGACTTCTAGTTTCAAGTAGCCCCATGTCCAATTTTCCTTCCAGCTATTAAAATATAAGTAACATGTATCATATCATAAAATTAATATGTATAAATTTTATGATTATATATTTTGCTAGCACATTCACCACTTTACATTGTAATAGTATCTTATGTTGAGAATTTTAAAAATGTATCGTTTGAGAAACTTGTAAATATACGATAGAATGTTGTTAACTGCAGGGGCTGCAGGCAAAGTAAAGTGGGTAGGGCACATGCTTTGCCTGTGGCCAACTCTTGTTTGATCCCCAGAATGCCATATGGCTCCATAGATCCCCTCCAGGAGTTGTCTAAGTGCAGAGCTCGGTATGAACCCTGAGCATCGCTGGGTGTGGCCCCAAACCAGAAAAAAATGTATGTCCTTAGTTGAAGTCACCACACTGTGTACTGCATTCCCAAGATTTATTCATCTTATAGCTGAGAGATTATGCCCTTTTATTGTCTTCACCCAGTTCCCCTACTTTTACTGGAAGCCAGCCATCTGGTCTCCATTGCTTTGAGTGCTGGGGTTTTAGGTCACACACATATAAATGATATTGTGCAGATTATATCATCTCTGTGTGACTTAGTGAACTTAGTATAATACCCTCAAATTTCATCCAAGAAGGAATTTTTTCTTTTTATTTCTGAATCATATATATAAATATTGGGCTGTAGTGATAGCACAGCGGGTAGGGTGTTTGGCTTGCATGTGGCTGACCTGGGTTCAATTTCTCTGCCCCTCTCGGAGAGCCCGTCAAGCTACTGAGAGTATCTCACCCACACAGGAAAACCTGGCAAGCTACCCGTGACGTATTCAATATGCCAAAAAAACAGTAACAACAAATCTCACAATGGAGACATTACTGGTACCCACTCGAGCAAATTGATAAACAATATGTAAATGTTAAAAAGTGATAATATATAAAGACTATTATGTTACAAAAATTATAATATTTATAAATGTTATAAAATATGTCGTTTGAATATACTACATTTCCTACATCCATCTGCTTGTTTATGGAATTTAGTGTCTCCATGCCTTACCTATTGTGAATAATATTGTGAATGTTACCTTATGACTTTTATAATTGTGAATGCTACCTTCTGACTTTTATAATTCAACCCTTAATGTTGCAGTGTTGTATAGTTTGAGCACAGCTTTGCTCATAAGCTTCACCTCAAACCTCATCATCTACATTATTTTATTGTTTTGATTTGATTGGGGCAACCACACCCAGTGGTGCTCAGGGATTACTCCTGGCAGTGTTCAGGGGACCAGCTGGGGTGCCAGTGAACAAACCTAGGTTGGCCCCATGCTAGGCAATGCCCTACCTGCTGTACTATCTCTTTGGTCCTTGTCTCCATCCTTAACAGCACTAACTTCCTTTTAAATTCTCAAATATTCGTTGGTTCTTTCTAACTCATAATACATGTAATGCCATTCCCTCTACCTGAAACAATTCCTAAGCTTTCCATGAGAAGATCTTCCTCATAATACTTTATAATTCATAAATATTAATAAATACTTTTAAGACATAGTCTGGCAAGCTACACATGACGTATTCAATATGCCAAACACAGTTAACAAGAAGTCTCACAAAGGAGACATTACTGGGCTCGCTGGAGCAAATCGATGAACAACGGGAGGACCATGACCGTGACTTTTAAGACAGTAAATTTTAACACATTCCTATGTACACTTAAATATCTCCTTGTTTGTTCATTAATCAACACAGCTATTAGATCTCTACTATACACTATAAATGTGGCATGTGTTAGCTTTGGAGTCAATCTATTTTCAGATAAGAAAGCTGGCTTTCTATTTTCTGATATCATTCATTGATGTGTTATGGGACAATGTAAGAACATCCCAGACAAGATGTTCTTATTTCTCCATAAAAAGTTTACAGCTTTAAGCTATTACCAGCAGATATTTACAACAGTTGGAGGATGAGCACTTCAGACTTACAAAAAATACAAGGCCACCATCAGCTTCCACTATAAAGTATTACTGAAAGACTTTAATCTTGAAAAAAGAAGAGTAATAAAATTCTGGGATGGCCTGGGTCTGATTGACATCACTGTCACTGTCACTGTCATCCCGTTAAGTGCCAACTTACTCAAGTGGGTGCCAGTAGCATCTCCATTTGTCCCAGTCCTGAGATTCAAGCATCATAAACTTTACACCCTCTCTCTGCAGATGCGGCACACCAGCTGGATGTCCTTGGGCATGATGGTGATGCTCTTGGCGGGGAATGTGCAGAGGTTGGTGTCCTCGAAGAGCCTCACCAGGTAGGCCTTGCACGCCTCCTGCAGCGCTGTGATGGCCGAGTTCTGGAAGCATAGGTCGGTGTCGGGCCAGTAGCAGTGTAGCTTCTTCATGCTGTCCATGGTTGACGCGTTCTTGGTGGCCAGCTGTTTGCAGGGCACCTTCCTGCCCATTGACTTGCGTACCATCTGCTTACTATGAGCCCTCTCGTTCTTCCCAACTCAGCCAGAGACTCCTTCAGGGTTAGGGAGATGAAACCCATTTTATCTACTATTGTTGGCATATTTAGTATGTCACGGGTGGCTTGCCAGGCTCTGCCATGCGGGCTGGATACCCGCGGTAGCTTGCCAGGCTCTCCGGGGGGCTGATTGACATAACTAGTTTTAAATCATTGTGTGCACTATGGCAGCAATAGAAACAATAGCACCCGCAGATTTGGTTGGTTATTGTTGTATCACTGTCATCCCATTGTTCATCGATTTGTTCAAGCGGGCACCAGTAACGTCTCCTTTCATCCCTGTCACGTGCTATTGTAGCCTGATGGCATACTGGAGGCTCTTTTAGGGTCAGGGGAATGAGAACCGTCATTTGTTACTGTTTGGGGTATATCAAGTATGCCACAGGTAGCTTGCCAGGCTCTGCCATGCAGACGGGATACTCTGGGTAGCTTGCCGGGCTCTCCAAGAGGGACTAAGGAAATCCTGCTTCTCTCTCTTCAGGGAGCTTTGTTTTATAGTCTCTGGATCTTGGCCGTTGATGAGATTACATGGTGCTGGGGCAGTTTGTGGGTGTGACTGCCAAGCTATTGGCAAATGGGGGATCTGGGTGGAGGAGGCCCAGTTGTGATCCGAGCAGGCTTGGAGATCTCAGCCATTGGTCCCGCATACCTGGGTTCCTTTGCCAGTTCCTACATGCATGAGGTTCGTTCAAGCATGTGGAAAGTGGCCTTGAGCATGGCTGTGGCTAGGTTCTGGAGGTTTTCAGCTGCTGGTGTTCTGCTTGGGTTGGGGAGGGAAACTCAACCTGCCTCCCTACAAGGGGCCCAGTGATGGTTGGTTATATTTCTTTATTTTGTTTTGGATCCACACCTCGAGTGCTCAAGGCTTACATTTGACTCTGAACACAGAGATCACTCCTGGAAGACTTGGGGACCATATGCAGTACTGGGAATTGAATGCAGGGGGGCTGCAAAACCAATGCCTTACCTGCTATACCATCCTCCTGCTCCTTGGTTGGATATATTTCTGCAGTCAAACTTCCCTTTGCTTCAGATAGGTGTAGGTGAGACTGATTTTTGTGGAATGAGTAAAGCTCTTGGGGTTAATTGGTTCATTTGGAAGACAAAGAGCAATAATAATTTTTTAAAAATTTTTATTAGTGAGACACCATGAGGTACAGTTGTAGACTTACAATTTTTTTAAATATACTGTTTTTTTTTAATATACTGTTTAAGGAGGTTATTTCATTTTTTAAATAATATGTTATCACATTTGCATTTTAAATACAGAACATTTACAAAATGTGGGTTGTAGAAAAGGTGTAAGAAAAACCATTTAAATCTCCATTCCTTTTCTTTGGGGATGATAATTAATAACTATGAAATGGAAAGATGATAATTAACAGATCGTGTCAATATCCAAGTCTAGAAATAGAATAGAAAATGTACATGTAAGGGTGCACTAGTCATTAACACAATGCTCTAAGAAAATCCTCTCCTTTTCAGCAGGTATGCTTTATATGCAAAATAAAAACTGATGAATGCTCAAATAATTAACAAATATAATATGAAATGCCCCAAATTCAGAAAACTCACAAATTAAAAATATTCTGCTCATATTCACTGGTTTTGTTTGTTGAAGCACAAATAGTAATATTTGAAGTTTAGGGAAAAGGTAAATTTTGTTCTTACTATTAAATTTTGGTGTAGAATGTCAAATATTAAATCCATAAATTTTCCAGCTTTTGCACCCTTATTAGTGTGAACTAATTAAATTAAATGCCTATAAATTTTTAGATATAGTCTATATATGTTATTATCAATATTATAATCAATTACTTGATTTTTATGTTTAAAATACTACTTTATTACTTATTATATTACTTATATCAACATTATATCAACATTATAAAAATGTCATACTTATATTTAATTAACTAAAAGTATTTTAGAAAATATTTCATGCCGTTTAACTCTAATAGAGTATCATGAAAATGGCTTCACTTTCAATCTTAGGAAAAAAATTATGAGGCCTCACACAAAAGATATATTTTAGATATTCACTTCTTCAAATTTATATCTCATTATTGTCATACACACAAAAAGTAATAAACGATGTAGGAAAATTAAGTTTTGACAGTGATCTATCAGATTTAGCAGCATGTATTTAAAATGCTCGGCTTTAAAGAAAAAGAAAAAGCATGTTTTTTAAATAGTATTGCTACACATCTAACAAAAGAATCAATATCTGTGTTTTGCAGGAGCAATCCCAGAGTGAAAATAAAACCGCTCACCGTTGTAGCTTTTAACTATGAATTTCTATGACTAAGGAGAAATGGGAATTTGCTAGAGATGCTTTAAAAAATGAGTAGAAATTGATTGCCTCCATTCTTTATTTTTTTATTTTTAAATTTTATTTTCATAAGATTGTTCACGTTAATTGATGACATTCAATATTTCAACACCAATCCCAGCACCATTATTTTGAATTTTCCCAGCACTGTTCAGAGCTGCCTGCCAGATAATTTCTTTTCTATTGCTTATTTTGAATATCACGAGAGGTCTCGCAGCCGCTCTTGCGGCCGTGCCCTCCTGGAATTCTAAAATTGTAAATGTCTGGGGACCAGAGACATCTCTGTAGGGAGCTGATCCACTTGGAGACTCATTTGAGAGTCTCTGGAGAAAGGCCTCAGGCCTGCTGGACCCAAAGGGGCGGGGAGACGGGAAGGGACAAACTGTTTCTGCCGCCCTGTGTCCTGTTCCCGCCTACGGGATTTTTCTTCTGGAAGTTTGTAGGCACAGGGGTTCATCTGGAGTGGGGGGAGGGACACCCCTTTCACCTGAGGAGCCCCAGTGAGACCCACTCAGCACGAGGTGAGCAGCGTCTCCAGCCAGCTGCTGTCTTCCAGGATCTACTGCTGACTCCACCTCCATGCTTCTGAAAGGCTTGTTTCTTTTTTTTTTTTAATTTTTTAAAAATTTTATTAGTGAAACACCATGAGGTACAGTTGTAGACTTACAAATTGTTGTGCTTGGGTTTCAGTTATACAATGATCCAGTACCCATCCCTCCACCAGTGCCCATTCTCCATCAATTACTTTTTTTTTTTTAATTTTTGTTAGTGAAACACCATGAGGTACAGTTGTAGATTTACAAATTTTTGTGCTTGGGTTTCAATCATACAATGATCAAATACCCATCCCTCCACCAGTGCCCATTTTCCACCACCGCGGGTCCCAGTATCCCTCCCACCCCCCATCCCCCCCATCCCACCCTAGCTCTGTGGCAGGGCATTCCCTTTTGTTCTCTCTCTCCTTTTGGGCGTTGTGGTTTGCAAAAGAGGCATTGAGTGGCAATCATGTTTGGTTTATAGTCTACTTTCAGCGTGCTTCTCCCATCCTGGGAGGATCCTCCCAACACCCTTTATTTGGTGCTCCCTTCTCTATCTGAGGTCCCTTTTCCCCTAACATGTGTGGATGGCCTCCAAGCCATAGAGCAAAATCCCTGGTACTAATCTCAACCTCTCTTGGGTGTTAGTCTCCTATTTTGTTACTTTACGTTCCCCAGAAGGAGAGGGATAGACATAGAAAGATTGAAAGTCTTGTTTCTTACAAAAATAAAATCATTAATGAACCGTTCCTAATATCCAAAATCATTAAGAATTTTTCACCAAATTTACTAGTCAAAACTTAAGCATATGTTAACCAAGAAACGTGAGAGACAGAGGCAGAGATAGAGAAAAACAGAAAATGTATTTTAAGAAAGTATTATTTAACTTGAATATCTCAAGCAGGAAAAATACCAAAGAAGCTGTAGAATACGTTTTTCAAAAGCTAGAGGCAGAAAACCTAAGAACATATATGTAACATTTTCTTCTATAAAAAATAGTGTGAAGTTCAGAGAGGAAATTCAGTGTTTTACAACCACCAATATCCTTTCATTTTTATCCTTTACACTCCTACTTCAGCAGATTCATGTTTTGAAAGTATGCATTATTTATTAAAATAAAAAAGAAGCAAATATATTCAGGAGCAGCTTATGCTGCTGAGTTTATTGCATCTGAAAACCCTTTCATATGTGTTTAAATTAAATTCTTGGTTTTCATGGTTTTAATTGGCATATTGACCTTGAAAAACCTATTGTCAAGGCAGCTCAGATAGAGAAGGGAGCACCAAATAAAGGGTGTTGGGAGGATTCTCCCAGGATGGGAGAAGCATGCTGAAAGTAGACTACAGACCAAACATGATTGCCACTCAATGCCTCTTTTGCAAACCACAACACCCAAAAGGAGAGAGAGAACAGAGGAGAATGCCCTGCCACAGAGGCAGGGTAGGATGGTGGGGAGGGGGGGAGGGATACTGGGATCCGTGGTGGTGGGAAACAGGCACCGGAGGAGGGATGGGTATTTGATCATTGTATAATTGAAACCCAAGCACAAAAATTTGTAAGTCTGCAACTGTACCTCATGGTCTTTCACTAATAAAAATGTTTTTAAAAAAGAAAAGAAAAAAGAAAAACCTATTGTCTAGCTTTCAGGGGAAAAAAAAACCCTGTGTGTGTGTGTGTGTTAAAGACTCCATTTATTGCAGCATGATTTTAGCTTGATATATTTTGTATATAAAATTGTATTTGGAGCACCCAAAGAAGTTCAGAAACAAGACATTGGCAATGCAGATATAGGGATCAGACACGTGTATTTATTTGATTGCAGTGATCTATCAGCACAAATAATATAGTTAAAATGTGTGTTGAGGGGCTGGAGCAGCGGCTAGGACATTTGCCTTGCACATGGTTGACCTGGGTTTGATCCCTGGCACCTCATATGATCCTCTGAGCACTCCAGGAGTAATTCCGGAGTGCAGATTCAGGAGTAACCCCTGGGTATCATTGGGTTTGCACAAAAAAACAAACAAATAAATGTGTGATGAGGCAAAAGGGCAGAAGAATAACAAAATTCAAAGTATAAAGAAA